AGGTAGACGAAGTCGAGCCTGTCGAGGTCACTGGTGACTCTGGTGCTGCTGGGGGTGCTGAGCCTGGGGGTGCTGGACCTGGGGGTGCGGAGTCTGGGGGTGCTGAGCCTGGGGGTACTGCGTCTGGGGGTGCTGAGCCTGGGGGTACTGAGCCTGCGGGTGCTGAGCCTGGGGGTGCTGAGCTTGGGGGTGCTACGCCTGGGGGTGCTGAGCCTGGAGGTGCTACGCCTGGGGGTGCTGAGCTTGGAGGTGCTACGCCAGGGGGTGCTGAGAGTGGAGGTGCTCCGCCTGGAGGTTCTCCGGGTGCTTCTTCTCGCCGGGAGCCACTCTCTCCACAGGAGCTGCGCGAGTGGTTTGCCCGGCGCTGGCGCCGTACTGCTGGTGCTGGAGGTTCTTCGGCTGCTGAGGGTGCTGCGGTCGCGGGTCCCGGAGGTGCTCGTACTGGGAGTACTTGAGCTGCTGGGCCTACGGGTTCGACTGGAGCTGGTGCTGCTGAGGGAGTTGGCGCTGAGACTACCGCTGGCGGTCCAACTGGGGGTGCTCCTGGTGCTGCTGGAGGTGCTGCTAGAGCGGGTGCTCCTGCTGAGGGTACTGGTGCTGTCCCTGCTGCTTCTGGCGTCATCACGCGACCTCGACTTTACTTTGTTCCACTCGTGCAGCAGGTTCTTGGTCTTCCTCCTTCTACTGGTCCTCCTCCTCCCTTAGAGTGTCCACAGCCTGTCCCGTCATAGTCACAGCTACAGCCTGCCTCCCCTCTTCCTGCTCCTTCTCCCTACGCTGGTCCTACTGGAGGTCTTACTGAGCGTCGTGAGCCTGCGTCTCGTCCTGCGTTGCCTGTTAGAGCTGCTCGCGCTAGTGGTCGCGGTTCGCGCCAGCGTCCTCCTCCTGTCCCTGGCACGCACCGGATGTCTCTGCGTCCGTCTACTGCTCCGTTGCGTGCCCCTTTGCCTTCCCCTCCTGAGTCCTCTCTTCCGGCACTTGCCGACCCTGAGTCGGACTCTCTTCGTGCTGCCAGTCCTACTGTCACGCGTCTCCTTGCTACTGTTGTCACTGACCCTTCTTTCGAGTCTACTGCTGCGTCTGCTCTCGTTACTGAGCTCGTCGACTTTGCTGCTCGCTGTCGCTTAGACTACGCTGCTAGTCTTGTCGCTGAGTCTGAGTCTGTCTGTCCTCCGTCCGTCGGGGGTGAGTGTGCCCTTGGCACGGACGTCCTTGAGGACAGGCAGGAGTTCCAGTGTCTGGCTGCTGCTTCACCTCATCTCGTGTCCGTACTGCTTACCCCAAAGGGAGACCCGGATGCACTTGACATCCCGACTCCGCGCTCTTACGCGGAGGCGATAGAGGGTCCCTACTCCTCTCAGTGGCAGGCAGCTATGGATGCAGAGATGGCTTCCTGGAAGTCCACAGGCACCTACGTTGACGCTGTCCCCCCTCCTGGGGCGAACATCGTCAGTGGCATGTGGATCTTCAAGGTGAAGCGGCCGCCGGGTTCTTCGCCTGTCTTCAAGGCGCGTTACGTGGCTCGTGGCTTCAGTGCAGCGGCAGGGAGTTGACTACTTTCAGACCTTCTCCCCCACCCCGAAGATAACCACTCTTCGGGTACTGCTGCACATTGCTGCTCACCGTGACTACGAGCTCCACTCTCTCGAATTCAGCATAGCTTTCTTGCAGGGCAGCCTGCACGAGGAGATCTGGCTGCGCCGCCCACCTGGCTTCACTGGGTCTTTCCCTCCTGGTACCCAGTGGAGTCTCCGGCATCCAGTCTACGGTCTCCGCCAGGCGCCACGTGAGTGGCACGACACACTGAGGACTACGCTTGCGGCTCTAGGGTTTGCTCCTTCTACTGCCGACCCGTCGCTGTTTCCGCGCACCGACACCTCTCTGCCGCCGTTCTACATCCTCGTATACGTCGACGACTTGGTCTTTGCCACAGCTGACACTGCTGGACTCGCCTACGTGAAGTCCGAGCTGCAGAAGCGACACACGTGCACAGACCTGGGTGAACTGCGCAGCTACCTTGGCTTGCAGATCACCCGGGACAGAGCACGCCGCACCATTACCCTGACTCAGTCACACATGGTGCAGCAGGTCCTTCAGCGCTTCGGCTTCACGTACTCCTCGCCTCAGGCCACTCCTCTGCCTACTCGCCACTCACTCTCAGCTCTGCCTTCGGATGAGTCCGTAGAGTCGAGTGGCCCGTATCCAGAGCTTGTTGGCTGCCTCATGTACCTGATGACCTGCACACGACCTGACCTTGCATACCCTCTTAGCATTCTCGCACGCTATGTTGCTCCTGGGAGACACCGACCAGAGCACATGGCTGCAGCGAAGAGGGTGTTGCGCTACTTGTGTAGTACGTCGGGCATGGGGCTAGTGCTTGGAGGGCGGAGTCCAGTGGTCCTCACTGGGCACGTGGACGCTTCTTGGGCTGACGACCAGGCTACGCAGCGGTTGTCACAGGGTTACACCTTCAGTCTTGGTTCCGGCTCTGTTTCGTGGCGGGCTACCCGCTCGTCTTCTGTTCTCGGCTCCAGTTGTGAGGCTGAGATCTACGCCGGGGCTATGGCTGCCCAGGAGCTTCGCTGGCTCACCTACCTGCTGACCGACCTTGGAGAGCCGCCTCGTTCTCCTCCAGTCCTGTACGTAGACAACAAGGCCATGCTGGCCTTGTGTCGAGAGCAGCGACTGGAGCACAGGACAAAGCACATTGCTCTCCGTTACTTTCTTGCTCGTGAGCTACAGCAGCGTGGACAGTTGCGGCTTGCATACGTGGCCTCTGAGGCCAACACTGCTGATGTTTTCACCAAGGCACTTGCGCCTTGTGATCATCAGCGCTTCTGTACTCAGCTTGGTCTTATGCCTGTCTTGCCTCACTTGCTTACCTCTTGACCTTGCTTGTACTGTTATATATATATACACCTGCTCTTGCTTGTCTAGCTTTCTATATATATGTACTCATGCATGTGAACTGGCCTTGTGGCCTTGAACTTGTGCTCGGAATGTGTGGTGACTTTGTGATCCACCCTGAGCTTGCTTTGTTTTGCTTTGCTTGACTGGTCTTGTGACCGCTTGTTCTCCCCCACTTTGCCTATGGGGGTGTGTCAGAACATTATAGCTTATGCTTTTGTGTAGGCTGTAGTGGGGTAGCCCATATGGGGTACAACCCAATTAGGGTTAGTACTTGTACCCAACTGTTTCATAGTTCATTCATTCTCGTTCTAATCTTCTCAAGCTACACAGAGTTTTCAGGGGTACGAACGACTTACGACGAACTGAAGAAGGCGGCATCAACAGTGAAGGGGTGGGAGAGACAGCTGCATTTTTGCATCCCTGCCCAGGAGCCCTCGGCGCACTACGACAAATGGCTCGGCGAGTCTGGACAAAACCGCTGGAGGTGCTGACATCATCTGACCCTAGATCGTGCTCGACGTCAATTTTGGAGTGACATTCGATTTCGATTACTGCTTCAACGAATTTCGCCGACGCTCGTATTTGACTTTACGAGGAATCGCCTTCACCGACGACATTTTCGTACCAACCCCGACTTCTCAGGCCAGTGGATTTCGGGATACAGCCGCACCAACTCTCCTAGCGACAAATCCATCCACTCGACCCGCCCACGACAACTGCATTGATTTCAAACACGTCACGTGCTGCCAGGTGCATCTGCTGAAGATACTGCATGATTCTGGTGTGTGAAGACAAAAACAGGTTCAGTTCGAGCAACGCATAATTTCTGCCGCGGTTTCTGGTCTACTTACGCGGGTTCGCCCTTGAAGACTTTTTGGGGCACGTACTACCCGGTTCCGCAATCGACTTTCCACACCGACGAGTCTTCACCTGGCTTTCTACGCTCGACATTCGCTTCAGTGGGACTTAACACCTGGATTTTTGTTGGTTTTCATCTCGGCGCAGCAGTGAAACATTTTCTGGTGTCTTTTCTTGGACGGGGGGAGAAAGTGCTTTGCACTATTTCTTTCCTTGGTGTTTTCTCGAGTTTCTTCTTGACTTTGTCAGGTTGCGTCAGCACGACGGACGACCGCGATCACACCGACAAGATCGACGGCTTCCGCTACATCGCGATTGAATTTCGCGTCAGCAGGTTCCCTCCAATCTCGCGTCAGTCTTCGACCGTCAGATCCACATCTGCTTCATCAACGGCCCACATTCCAACTTCAACTTCATTTTGGGCTAGTTCCTCGTCGACCGTCAGATCGAAATCGGACTACATCGACGGTCTACCTTCCAACCTTTTCAAAAATATAATCGAAGGCTTTTCGGCCGTCGGATTCAGCTGAAGGGGGTTCGTTTTCAGTACAGGACTGCCTTATTTAGAAGGTGGGAGAGTGTAAGGATTTACAGAATCCTTACTGAGGCACTCGTTAGCGAGGCCATCCCGAGGGTCACGCGACGAACCTGTCCTTCCTATTTCGTCGCACCGAACCACTCCCGAGTCGGCCTCCGCTCCAATCGCAACCATCACCGAGCCATCCTCGCCCAACCTCTCCGCCTAGCTAGGACTTCCCCTATTTAGTCGTACCTTTCTCATTGTATCGTGATTCAGTAATTCAGTACTCAATCATTCTCGATATTCGTTTTACTGCGCACTCTGCAAGTTCATTCATAACACCGAAGCTCAATGCCAGCCTAGCAATAGCACGCACCACGTTACAGTTTGCATGTTCGCACATGCCTTCGCTCATATTTTGAACTCGTTTGATAACCTAGTGCAATTCTCCCTACAGTTTGCATGTTCGCACATGCCTTCGCTCATATTTTGAACTCGTTTGATAACCTAGTGCAATTCTCCCTATCTCGTTTACATTGCACCCGTTAGAGAACCCCATCTGGAATAGACGAGGATTCGTGTCAGCAAATACGCCGTAAGGGCGTGCCATACGCTCGATCTCAAATTTTCAACGGACATACGCCGACAGACAGGCCAGCACAGCACGGCACACGGACCGGTGCTCTCGCGCGGCACACCCCACCTCGTGGCCATGGACGCGCTCAAGACGGCGGCGCCGTCGCAGCTGCTGGCGGAGCGCGGCGCGACGCTCGTCGTCATCCACCCGGGCTCGCTCACCCTCCGCATCGGCCTCGCGTCGTCCGCCGCCCCGCTCGCCATTCCGCACGTCATAGCGCGGCTCGCGTCGCCAAAGGGGGGGCTAGCGCGGGGAGTGGCGGAGGACGGGAATAACGCAGAGCGGGGAGACGAGGCCGCGGCCCGCGCGGACGAGCAAATCGGGGTGAGATGCGCGGGCGGGCGAAAAGGGGGGGCGATTGGATGGGGGAGACGAATGGATGAGTGTGCGCAGGAAGCAGCGGTAGGCGGGGAGGTGGAGGGCGGAGGAGAGGGGTGGGCGCGGAAGGCGGCGGAGCGGATGAGCGGTGAGAGCGGCGCCAAGGAGCTGTCCGCCGCCATGAAGGAGCGGCGCGACGCGCTGAGAGCCACGCTGGCTGAAATAGGATTTCCGCCTCTGGCGGACGGGAGGGGACGGCGGGGGGAGGAAGGGCATGGGGAGGAGAGCGAGGAGGAGGGAAGGAGGTGGGTGGGGGGAGGGGGCGTGGAGGTGGACGACTCGAGCTTCGCGTGGACGCAGGTGGCGGAGAGGGGCGGGGGGGAGGGGGGAAAAGGCGATGAGGAGGAGGAGAAGGGCGGGTGTGAGATGTCTGCGAAGCAGTTGAGTGGCAGTGAGGCGGATGAGGGCAGGGGGCAAGGCGAGGGGCAGGCAGCGGGAAAAGAAGGCGTGGGTGTGGAGCGGGCGGTGGGCAGGGCGGAGGAGAGCGAGGCAGGGGCGAGTGAGGTGTGCGCGCAGGCGAGGGGCGAGGTGACGAGCAGCGCGCAGGCACGTGGCGCAGATGCGGGCGCGCAGGGGAGGGCGAGAATGGCATGCGGTGGCACGTGCGGGCAAGTGCAGACAGGGGAGGAGCATGAAGGGAAGGAGAAAAGAGGTGAGGAAGAAGAAGATGAGAGGGCAGAAGATGAGGTGAAAGAAGTGGAATGTGAGGGAGGGGATGGCAATGTTACGAGAAGGGGGGACGATGGGATGGGTGGAGGCAACAGCGGGGAGGCAGGTATGGATGGGGAAGAGGGTGGGCAGGAGGGTGGGAAGGAGGTTGAGAATGAGGGTGGGAAGGAGGAAGGGAAGGAGGGTGGGAAGGAAGATGGGAAGGAGGGGGAGGAGGGTGGGAAGGAGGGGGAGGAGCAAGGGAGGAGCAGTGGGGTGGAGAGAGAGGAGTCAAAGGAGGGTGTGATGGACGCACGTGCAGGCAGGGGCGCAGGTGCGACTGGCATGGGTGAAGAGAAGGGAGCGCGCGAGGACCATGCAGCGGATGGTGCGTGTGCGACACGAGGGGAGGCTACGGGTAGAGGAGAGGGCACGGGGGATGGGGGAGGAAAGGGCGGAGAGGGGAGGGCAGTGAGGAGAGAGGAGGCGGTTGCGGGCGAAGGGGAGGGCGAGGGCATGGTGGGTGGGGAGCGAGTGGTGGGGACGAGTGGTGGCGTGCATGGGAAGAGCAGCAGTGCGGCACAGAAAGGGTTGGAAAGGGGGAAGGGGATGGAGAAAGAGGCAGAGGATGATTTGGCTGTGGTGGCAGGGAGCGGGGGAGCAAGAGAGGGCGAAGAGGCAGAGCGGGGCACGGAGGAGGGAGTGGGTAGGCAGGCGGTGGGGCAGGGCGAGGCAGTGAAGGGTGCAGTGGATGGAGGGGCGGTGAACGCAGGGGCTCAAGTGGGGGTGAAGCAGGAGGGGAGGGAGGGGGTGAAGGAGGGGAACGACGAGGCGCTCTCATCCCCCCCGCTCCCACCGCCTCCCCCCCCTGCAGCGCACAGCAGGCAGCGTGGGCGACCACGGTACCGCCCCGTGGTGGTGGGCGAGGCGGCGCTGGCCATCCCTGGGGGCGCGCCGTACTGCGTGCGGCGGCCCATGGCGCGCGGGCACCTGAACGCCAGCCACAGCTACCCGCTGCTGCACGTGCTGGACGACCTCAGCGCCATCTGGGACGCCGCCCTCGCCCGCCTCTGCCCTCTCCCCCATCCGCATGCTGCCACTGCTGCTGCCCCTCAGGATCGCGCGGGCAGGGACGGGCAGCAGTGGGAGTGGGATGGCGAGGAGGGGGTGGAGCGGCGGCGGCAGCGGCAGCAGTGGCAGCAGCAGGTGTCGGCGGTGGTGGTGGTGCCGGAGAGCATGGAGGGGCGCGAGGTGAAGGAGCTGGTGGGCGTGGCGCTGAGGCACCTGCGCCTGGCGTCCGTGGTGGTGCACCAGCAGGCCGTCGCCGCCGCCTTTGGCAGCGCCGCGCCGTCCGCGTGTGTGGTGGACGTGGGTGCGCACACGGTGAGCGTGGCGTGTGTGGAGGAGGGCAGCGTGCGCGCGGCGTCACGCGTGGTGGTGCCGGTGGGGTCGGAGGACGCGGGGCTCTGCCTGCTGTGGGCCGCCAATGAGATGCTGGGCGGCCGCCGCCCCTGCACTCGCACGTCCATGGTTGGGTGGGGCGGGGGAGGCAGGAGTGGAGGCGAGAAACGCAAAGGGCGGGATCTGGAGAGTGTGGAATCGAAGGAGAGCGATGAGGGGGGGCGGCAGGAGGAGGTGGGGGAGAGGGAGAGTGGCGAGGGCATCAGGCGGTCGTTGCGCGTGGCGAAGAGAGTGCGGGGCGAGGGGAGTGGAGGGGGGGAGGGAGGGGGCAGCAGGGAGAAGGGTGCGCAGGAAAGCAGAGGCGCAGGTGGTGCTAGTGCTGTGGGCGAGGGCGCAGAGGGAGGTGAGTTGTGGGAGGAGGGGGAGTGGTTGTGGCCGTACCCAGGTTTTGACCCATGGGCGGATGCACAGGAGTGGGTGCAGCTGCAGGCGGTGAAGGAGGCGCACTGCTCGCTGCAGGTGGAGGAGCAGGGCGGCGAGGATGCATTCGAGAATGACGTGGACGCAAGTGCCTTGAGGTGTTGTCGGGTGCACTTCACTCAGCGCTCACCTACCTCGCCACCGGCCGTGCGCCATGCGGTGCCGCTGCCGCGAGCAGCCATGCGGGCAGCAGCAGAGATGCTCTTCCGCCCCGCCCTCATGCTCTCACCGCTCTCCCACATGCACTCACCCGTCACCCCGTGGCCGTGGCCGCCCCCCCACGTGCGTGTGGACCACCAGGACGCCCTGGACGACCCCTCGCTGCCCGACGCCGCGCTGCGCCGCCTTGACACCCTCGCCCTGCCCGACCCCGACCGTGCGCCACCCACCGCCTCTGCTGCTCCCACAGGGGGGCGCCGCGTGCCGCTGCTGCTGGGGCTGGACGCAGCCATTGCGGCGAGCGTGGCGGCGGTGCCGGACAGGGAGGGGCGGGAGAAGCTGCTCACCAACATCGTGCTTACCGGGGGTGGCGCCGCTCTGCCCGGGCTGAAGAGGCGCATCGAGCAGGCCGTGCCGCGCGCTCTCACCGCCCGCTTACAGGCCATCGCCCACCAGGCTCAAGCTGCTGCTGCTGCCGCCGCTGCCACTGCTGCCACTGCGGCTGCTGCTGTGACTCCAGGTTCTGGACACAATCCTGCCGCAGCTGCTGCAGCCGCGGCAGCAGCGGCAGCGGCAGCCACTGCAGCACAGGCTCAGGCTGCTGCTGCCGCTGCTGCGGGTGGTGGCGTGGGGGGGCAGGGGCGGGTGGAAGTGGAGGTGCTGGCGAGCAGGCATCCTGCGGGCGCGACGGCGTGGCGGGGGGGTGCGGTGCTGGGCGTGCTGGACTGGAGCCGAGAGTCGTGGATGACACGGGAGGAGTGGGTGGAGGGGTGCCGCGTGGGCGGTGGCAGAAGGTACCGCGAGTCCATGTGCTTCCAGACACCTCTCGTGTGGTACTCTAACGTGGAGTAGAGGGAATGCAGCTCACGCCTGTACCTACCAGGACACGTGACGTGAACCATGCATGACGTTGCATTGCAAGTGCTCTTTAGAATGTACACATCTCCTTTGTGGAATGCTTGCTACTGCGGTGGGTGAACAGCAGGGCCTCATATTTCAATGAAAAAATGCTGATTTAGGGTCGGAAGACTGATTTTTCAGATATGGCGATACCGTATGGGCTGATTAAAAAATGAATATTTTTAAAAGCTGTACTGCAACGCTTTTCAAAATTGTGTATTTTGAAAGCGAAGCGGCTTGTAATGTAGCAATGGTCATCGGCGAACCGCGCTAAACGCCCGTTTTGGAGTACAAAACGTGGGCTGGAGGTCATTTCCCTCCACCCACGTCTCTCATTTTTCAAACGGTTTAGTCAAGTTTCCCACCCACCCACCCCCTAGAATATTGAATAATAGTTAATTGTGCTACGAGAATTATCCTATGCTAGCTTGGACTTGTTTGTACCGTAATACCCCGGATATAAGCGCACTTGCGCTTATAATAAAACCTGGTTTTTTGGGGGGGTGCGCTTATAATTGAGTCTGATTTATAAGAGCATGCGCTTGTATAAAGGATAAAATGAAAGTCAATTTTAAACACACCATTGCGAAGCTCTCAATAAGGCGAATTCAACCAACCATGCACCAAGTGGGATCGTGCATGGTTTTCAGGCAGAAACCGCAGCGGTTCGGTTTCCCACCGCACAATGTTGTCTGGAAACATCGACAGTGACAGCCGTGACGAGGATGTTGCCGTGCGGCCCAATCGTCGCACAGTCTAACCATGGCTGTCGATAACGCATCTACGCGTGTGCGTTGGGCCTGTGCTTCATACAACTCCTTCTAAGCACCTTGTTTAATGTCTGTGCAAGAATGGATGCCAATGCAACACCATACCACAACGGATTCACCATGTCGCGCAACCCGCAGGCCTGAACGCTGCATCGTCGCACAGTCTAACCATGGCTGTCGATAACGCATCTACGCGTGTGCGTTGGGCCTGTGCTTCATACAACTCCTTCTAAGCACCTTGTTTAATGTCTGTGCAAGAATGGATGCCAATGCAACACCATACCACAACGGATTCACCATGTCGCGCAACTCGCAGGCCTGAACGCTCCATCGTCGCACAATCTAACCATGGCTATCGATAACGCATCTACGCTTGTGCGTTGGGCCTGTGCTTCATACAACTCCTTCTAAGCACCTTGTTTAATGTCTATGCAAGAATGGATGCCAATCCAACACCATACCACAACGGATTCACGTTTGTTACTATTGATAATCGTGTTAGAATGTCGTCCGCTGTCCCTAAACCATTGTGGCAAAGCCTAAAAGTGCACAGTACATCTGTCACAAGTAATAATTCTGGACGATCGTTGTGTATGTGCCGTAAAATCACCGATTAACTTACACCAACCCCGTGGTAAACCATTTGCAACTTAGAGTTTGATGAAATGCATTGTTGTATGTTTGAATAAAACTTAGTGATTTATGCGTTGGCAACAGTGATTGGCCGACGCATCTCAAACGATTCCCCCCGCAACACAGTCGTCAGCCAAGAGGTACTTCAGCCATTGAGCGGCTGAGATCGAGCGGTAGGTGGGTTTATGCTAGGGTGGCTACACGTACACCGTCCAATATAGCCTGATAGGGTTACATTGTGGAAAACTGAACGAGAATGAATCAACTATGAATGAAGTGAGTACATATATGAAACCCTAATTGGGTTGTACCCCCTATGGGATACCCCACTATAGCCTACACAAATAAGTAAGCTATAATGTTCTGACACACCCCCATAGGCAAAGTGGGGGAGAACAAGGGGTCACAAGACCAGTCAAGCAAAGCAAAGCAAAGCTCAGGGTGGATCACAAAGTCACCACACATTCCGAGCGCAAGGTCAAGGGCCACAAGGCCAGTTCGCATGCAAGATCATATATAGAGATATACAAGAGTCAAGCAAGCAAGAGCAAGAGTATATATAGGTCAAGGTACAAGCAAGGTCAAGAAGTGAGCAAGTGAGGCAAGAAAGGCACAAGACCCAGCTGCGTGCAGCAACGCTGATGATCACAAGGCGCAAGTGCCTTGGTGAAGACATCAGCAGTGTTGGCCTCAGAGGCCACGTACGCAAGTCGCAACTTTCCACGCTGCTGCAGCTCACGAGCAAGAAAGTAGCGGAGAGCAATGTGCTTTGTCCTGTGCTCCAGTCGCTGCTCTCGACACAAGGCCAGCATGGCCTTGTTGTCTACGTACAGGACTGGAGGAGAACGAGGCGGCTCTCCAAGGTCAGTCAGCAGGTAGGTAAGCCAGCGAAGCTCCTGAGCAGCCATAGCCCCGGCGTAGATCTCAGCCTCACAACTGGAGCCGAGAATAGAAGACGAGCCAGTAGCCCGCCACGAGACAGAGCCGGAACCAAGGCCGAAGGTGTAACCCTGTGACGACCGCTGCGTAGCCTGGTCGTCAGCCCAAGAAGCGTCCGCGTGCCCAGTGAGGACCACTGGACTGCGCCCTCCAAGCACTAGCCCCATGCCCGACGTACTGCACAAGTAGCGCAACACCCTCTTCGCTGCAGCCATGTGCTCTGGTCGGTGTCTCCCAGGAGCAACATAGTGTGCGAGAATGCTGAGAGGGTATGCAAGGTCAGGTCGTGTGCAGGTCATCAGGTACATGAGGCAGCCAACAAGCTCTGCATACGGGCCACTCGACTCTACGGACTCATCCGAAGGCAGAGCTGAGAGCGAGTGGCGAGTAGGCAGAGGAGTGGCCTGAGGCGAGGAGTACGTGAAGCCAAAGCGCTGAAGGACCTGCTGCACCATGTGTGACTGAGTCAGGGTAATGGTGCGGCGTGCTCTGTCCCGGGTGATCTGCAAGCCAACGTAGCTGCGCAGTTCACCCAGGTCAGTGCACGTGTGTCTCTTCTGCAGCTCGGACTTCACGTAAGCGAGTCCAGCAGTGTCCGCTGTGGCAAAGACCAAGTCGTCGACGTACACGAGGATGTAGAATGGCGGCAGAGAGGTGTCGGTGCGCAGAAACAGCGACGGGTCGGCAGTAGAAGGAGCAAACCCAAGTGCCGCAAGCGTAGTCCTCAGTGTGTCGTGCCACTCACGTGGCGCCTGGCGGAGACCGTAGACTGGACGCCGGAGACTCCACTGGGTACCAGGAGGGAAAGACCCAGTGAAGCCAGGTGGGCGACGCAGCCAGATCTCCTCGTGCAGGCTGCCCTGCAAGAAAGCTGTGCTGAAGTCGAGAGAGTGCAGCTCGTAGTCACGGTGAGCAGCAACGTGCAGCAGTACCCGAAGAGTGGTCATCTTCGGGGTGGGGCAGAAGGTCTGAAAGTAGTCAACCCCCTGCCGCTGACTGAAGCCACGAGCCACGTAACGCGCCTTGAAGACAGGCGGAGAACCCGGCGACCGCTTCACCCTGAAAATCCACATGCCACTGACGATGTTCGCCCCAGGAGGGGGAACAGCGTCAACGTAGGTGCCTGTGGACTTCCAGGAAGCCATCTCTGCATCCATAGCTGCCTGCCACTGAGAGGAGTAGGGACCCTCTATCGCCTCCGCGTAAGAGCGCGGAGTCGGGATGTCTAGTGCATCTGGGTCTCCCTCAGGGGCTAGCAGTACAGACGCGAGATGAGGTGAAGCGGCGGCCAGACACTGGAACTCCTCCTGCCTGTCCTCAAGGACGTCCGTGCCAAGGGCACACTCACCCCCGACGGACGGAGGACAGGCAGACTCAGACTCAGCGACAAGACTAGCAGCGTAGTCTAGACGACAGCGCGCAGCAAAGTCGACGAGCTCAGTGACAAGGGCAGACGCAGCAGAAGACTCGAAAGAAGGGTCAGTGACAGCAGTAGCAAGAAGACGCGTGACAGTAGGACTGGCAGCACGAAGAGAGTCCGACTCTGGGTCGGCAAGAGCAGGAAGAGAGGAAGCAGGAGGAGAAGGCAAAGGGGCACGCAGAGGAGCAGTAGACGGACGCAGAGACATCCGGTGCGTGCCAGGGACAGGAGGAGGACGCTGACGCAAACCACGACCACTAGTGCGCGCAGTACGAACAGGCAACGTAGGACGAGACGCAGGCTCACGACGCTCAGTAAGACCTCCAGTCGGACCAGCGTAGGGAGAAGGAGCAGGCAAAGGTGAGGCAGGCTGTAGCTGTGACTGTGACGAGACAGGCTGTGGACCCTCTAAGGGAGGAGGAGGAGGACCAGGAGAAGGTGTAAGACCAAGAACCTGCTGCAGGAGCGGAACGAAGTACGGCCAGGGCCGCGCGGCGACGCCAGAAACAGCAGGGACAGCACCAGTACCCCCAGCAGGAGTACCTGCTCCAGCAGCACCTCCAGTAGCTCCAGAACCTCCAGCAGCACCACCAGGAGCACCACCAGTCGGACCTCCAGCGGCAGTCTCAGCGTCAACACCCTCAGCAGCACCAGCTCCAGGAGAACCCTCAGACCCAGCAGCTCCAGCACCCACAGTACGAGCACCGCCGGGACGCTCGGCAGCAGTACCCTCTGCAGCCGAAGAACCTCCAGCACCAGCAGCACGCCTCCAGCGCCTGGCAAACCACTCACGTAGCTCCTGAGGGGAGAGTGGCTCTCGGCGAGACGAAGCACCTCAAGGCGTAGTACCCCCAGGCTCAGCACCCCCAGGCTCAGCACCCCCAGGCTCAGTACCCCCAGGCTCAGCACCCCTAGGCTCAGCATCTCCAGGCTCAGCACCCCCAGGCTCAGCACCCCCAGGCCCAGCACCCCCAGGCTCAGCACCTCCAGACTCCGAACCCCCAGGCTCAGCACCCGCAGACGTAGCACCTCCAGTCTCAGCACCCCCACGCTCAGCTCCCGCAGCAGCACCAGAGTCACCAGTGACCTCGACAGGCTCGACCGCGTCTACCTGGGACACACCTGAAGGGGCAGGACCCTGAGGGGGGAGGGGGTCTACCGGGGGGGGACCTGGTACCAAGAAGAGCGGGGGCGGGGGGAGGGACGGAGTGCGGTAGGGGAAGAGGCGGTAGTAGGGTACCGACTCGTCGAACGTGACGTCCTGGGAGGACAGAACACGTCGGGAGGTGGGGTGGTAGAACTGCCACCCAGGGGCGTCGGGGGGGAACCCCAGGAAGACGCAGGGAGCAGCGCGAGGGGACAGCTTGTCCGCAGACAAGTCGCGGACAAACGCCCGAGATCCCCAGACCCGGAACGCCGACGCATCGCCAACCTTCCCCGTCCACAGCAGCGCTGGGGAGGTCTCCGGCCTGGAGACCCTGGGGTGGAGGTTGATCTGATGCGCTGCGTACCTGACCACAAACGGCCACAGAAAATGGGGGGCAGCCGCATGCATCATGGACGTACGAGCGACGTCCATGACCATGCCAATGCGGCGCTCTGCAATCCCATTTTGCTGCGGGGAGTCCGGAAGCGTGAAGGTCTGGCGGATGCCTCGCGCACGACAGTAGGCACGCAGAAGGCCAGAGGAGAACTCTCCGCCTCTGTCCGAGTGCAGACGCAACACAGGAAAGTCCGAGCCAAAGCTCTGCCTGAGCTGGAGACGAGTTGCGCGGATCCAGTCGATCAGCACCTCAGTGACATCACCCTTGCTGCGCAAGGGGAAGACTGTGGTGTAACGCGAGTAGTCGTCAACCACCAGCAGGAAGTAGCACTCGTGACCGAGTCCACGGACGCGGGCAGGGCCCCACACGTCCATGTGAAGCGTCTGCAACGGAGCCTCTGCCGGAGGAAACTGGGAGGAGTGAGGGGCAGCACGCTGGCGCCCCTCGACACAGGGGACACAGGCAGGGCCAGGGCTCTGAGGAAGGGGAGGTAGAGACCGGGGGAGACCTGACACAAGAAGACGGGAGGCCATGCCTCTGAGCCAAAGCAGAGAGGGGTGGCCAAGACGGTGGTGCCAGAGGAGGGTCTCGTGAGACAGACGGCGACA